ATGTTCAAATAGTAGTGTTAAAATTTTTGAAGCAAGATTCTGCATAAAAAAGGCTGAAAATGTTTTGAGAAGAAAATGAACAGCAGAGTAGCAAAGAAAAATGGTGAGCACCAGAATTCCTTAGCTCTTATTTTCATGGAAAAGTACCTAGTTCTCAAATGCTGGTAACTGGAGCATCCTATTGGTTAAAAATAAACAGCAAAAAGTTTCAGGAAACCAACTAAACTTAAAAAAAAAAAAAAAGCAACCAGAACAGCCCAAAACAGAATAACAAAGTCCCAATTATGAAGTTGTGCCAGAGGGGTCTGGTCATTACACCGTTTGTCTGCCCTCAGGCCAGGGTTCAAACCCAGTGTTGACAAATTCAGTGGACACATGGGCTGAAGAGCATCCGGAAAGGCCGGCTTTGTCAGGAGAGGGCTGCCCTTAATGCACTTGGTTCTGAGGTATCTTTGCTGTTTAAACTGTCTTGTTTTCTTTGACCTTTGAACTTTCCCCTTCCTAATTATTTCAGTCTTCATTTAAACAGATGTAATTCTAACCTAATGTCCTCTTTTTACCCCATCTCTCCCTGGTAGCTGGAACAGTGAACCATGGAGCTGTATTTCGGTGAATATCAACATGTACAGCAGGAATATGGGGTCCATCTGAGACTTGCAAGTGATGATACCAAAAAATCAAGGGGTTCCCAGAACTCCAAGCCAGGCTCCTACGGTGTCAGTATTAGGGTCCAGGGAATTGATGGGCACCCCTACATAGTCCTGAATAACGCGGAACGGTGCCTAGCAGGCACATCATTTCCACCTCCAGTGATAAACAACCTGCCTCTACATTCCAGCAATGGTTCTGTGCTAAAGGAGAACAGTGAAGAAGAACCGCAGCTTCCAGAAAATCCATATGCCCCATCTAGCCCACTAAGAAACCTGAAACAGCCCCCTCTCCACGAGGGCAAGAATGGAGTGCTAGATCGCAAAGATGAGTCCGTGAAGCCATCTCCCATCCTCAACTTTCGGAGGCATCCAGAGCTTTTGCAGCCCTATGACCCTGAAAAGAATGAGTTAAACTTACAAAATCACCAGCCTCCTGAGAGTAATTGGCTAAAAACGTTGACGGAAGAAGGCATCAACAATAAGAAACCTTGGACTTGCTTTCCTAAACCTAGCAATTCCCAGCCTACCAGTCCCTCCTTGGAAGACCTGGCCAAATCTGGTGTGGCAGCTATTCGTTTATGCAGCTCTGTGGTCATAGAGGACCCCAAAAAGCAGACCTCAGTGTGTGTAAATGTGCAGAGCTGCACCAAAGAGAAGGTGGGAGAGGATGCCCTTTCCACTAGCGGGAGGCCCCTCACTGCCCACAGCCCACAGGCCCACCCAGAAACCAAGAAAACCAGGCCAGATGTGCTTCCCTTCCGGCGACAGGATTCAGCGGGACCCGTCCTGGACGGAGCTCGGTCCCGGAGGTCCTCCTCGTCATCGACAACTCCCACTTCAGCCACCTCTTTGTACAGGTTTTTACTGGATGATCAGGAATGTGCCATCCATGCCGACAACGTCAATCGTCATGAAAACAGAAGGTATATTCCCTTCCTGCCAGGAACTGGACGGGATATTGATACAGGATCAATTCCTGGTGTGGATCAGTTAATTGAGAAATTTGATCAAAAACCTGGGCTTCAAAGAAGAGGCAGGTCTGGGAAGCGAAACAGAATCAATCCAGATGACAGGAAAAGGTCCAGAAGCGTGGACAGCGCCTTTCCTTTTGGCCTTCAAGGGAACTCGGAGTACTTGACTGAATTTAGTAGGAACTTGGGCAAGTCGAGCGAACACCTCCTCCGGCCTTCCCAGGTGTGTCCTCAGCGGCCGCCGGCTCCGGAGCGCCGTGGGAAACAGAGCGTGGGACGAACCTTTGCAAAGCTGCAGGGAGCAGTGCACAGGGCTCCCCAGCAGAACACAGACGGGAAAGTTCTGGAAACCAAAGGTAGTCAGGAAAGTACAGTGATCCGTGCTCCCTCCCTTCTTGCACAGAGTAAAAAGGAGGAGGAGGTGAAAACAGCCACAGCTACACTGATGTTACAGAACCGGACGGCAGCAACTTTGCCTGATTCTGGTGCCAAGAAAATTTCTGTGAAGACTTTTCCTTCGGCCTCCAATACTCAGGTAACACTAGGGTGATTCCTTTTTTTTTTTTTTTTTCTTTCTGTCTTCCTTCTAAATAATCTAATGATGTACTCATGCTGCTGGAGGCCCTAGGAATACACATCCTCAATCTTGTATCAGGAATCACACAGCTGATCTGTTTCAGCATCCAGTTGTGTCCTTCCTACTCACAGTGTCCTACTGCCAATTGCATAGTTTAGTGGGTTCTTTGAAGTTCGGCTGGATTCCCATTGTGATCTCTCTGTAAAGTAAGTTGGCAGATGCTATAGAGAAGCTCAGTTTTTCTGTTGGTGTATGCATGAAATCGGAAAGTATGCAGAATTTGTTTCCACACTGAGGCTGAATGGTTAGGTTTGTGTAGATGTATTAATTTTACTCATAAAATTGAGTGATTGGGTTAATTTCTAGCCTGAAAAATTAGGTTAATTTTCATTTAGGTTAATCATCAAGATAGAATCTAAATGGTACATTTAGTGTTTTGGTGGTAAAAAAAAAAATTATGATATTGATAAAACGGTTAAAAAGTAGCTAAGTGCCAGGCACTGTTTGTTATATGTTACAGAACTCCACCAACTCTGTGCAGGTGGAACCTATTAATCTCAATTTACAGGTGAGAAAATTGAGGTGAAGAGAAGGTAAGTAACTTCCCCAGGATTACAAAGCGGGTAAATAAATATTGTAACTGGCTCCGAGGAGGATGCTCACTAGAGGAATTGTTTTTAAAAAGTAGGAATGTGTTTGGAAGCCTCTGGAAACTTCATCCTTATGATCTAACCACAGACCTTATGTTCCAGGCCACACCGGATCTCTTAAAGGGCCAGCAAGAGCTCACTCAGCAAACCAATGAGGAGACAGCCAAGCAGATTCTCTACAATTATCTCAAAGAAGGGTTAGTGATTTTCCCTCTGCAAGAGCAAAGTATTGTTGTTTCTGTTGGGACTCTTAATTTCCTTTTTCCAGCACTTAATGGATACCTTCCCTTCTTGCCCCATGGGAGCCATTGGAGGGTTAAAACTCAATGTTGGAGTTTTCATGATAGCATTTGTCTTATGTGGTATGGGGTGGAGGCTTTGGGAGGGGTGTGTAGGAAAGGTCACCATATTTTAAACATTAAAATGAATACATTTTTAAGATGACTCTGTACTGTTTCAAAAGCAAATTTAAAGATAGGAAGAGTGTCTACTCTTCAGGTTTGAGGAGTGTGCCGTCACCTTGAGTTCTTCCACGCATGCGGTGGTCCTTTAAAAGTTACAAATAAAAACACCTCCCCTCCCCAGAGTTAACATTGGCCAAGAGCCCCTGCTTCCATTATTTTTAAAGCAGGTGTGAGTTGCTTAAAAGCAGTGCTTTCCCTCCTTATCTTGGTAGTTGAGTTGGAGTAATCGGGGTTTCAGTCCTCACTTAGATACGAACTGTGCTGGCACTCTGGCGAGGAATTTGAAGTTTCTGTTTCAGTTCCCTCATCAGATACGATTAAGAAGAAGGAAAAAAAAATGCTTTATAGCCTACATGACTGAAAACCAGCTAGTTGGTAAATCCTCATTGGTATCAAAATACTGTATATTTTTGTATTGTGCCTTACAATTATTTGTCAGTTTTAGAACTATCAAAATAGTAAGGCTCAAAATATAAGACGGGATCTTTTGAAAAGGAAAAAAAAGTAACCCAAAAGATTCATCTAGCTAAGAACTAGGGAGACTTTACCATGTTAAGATGAAAGTGGAAGAAATTTTGACTTTAAAAATTCATTAATTTTTTTGTTTGTTTGCTTTTTGAGACAGTCTTACTCTGTTGTCCAGGCTGGAGTGCAGTAGCATGATCTTGGCTCACTGCGACCTCCACCTCCCAGGTTCAAGAGATTCTCCTGCCTGAGCCATCTGAGTAACTGGGATTATAGGTGTGCACCACCATGCCCGGCTGATTTTTATATTTTTGGTAGAGACAAGGTTTTGCCTATTAGCAAGGCTGATCTCGAACTCCTGACCTCAAGTGATCCGCCCACATTTGCCTCCCAAGGTGCTGAGATTACAGACGTGAGCCACCGTGCCTGGCCAAAATTCATTAGATTCTTTTATATATGTATGTTTTGGCACATGATTTATTGAGACATTGGTAAGACAGTCTTTAGTGAGAGGTGCCTGTTGAGGAAAGTTTATTTTAAATATTTTTCTTCTAATTGCTGGGGGTGCGATAGAAGCTAATAAACTTTGTATGTGAGTGTTACTTGTGAAAACCCAGAGAAAGGGCTGCCATGTTGACAATCTTGGCTTAGGGATTTTATTTTTTAAACATAGGCTGAACAAATTAAGATCACTGTAGATCATTCTTAGTGTAAAATTTAAATGTACAATGTGTTTGTGTGTGTGAGAGAGAGAGACATACCTACTTCAAAGAAAAGAAGAAAACCTTTTGGAATGGACATGCGTCATTTGAATCAAACAATAAATTACCAAATGTTCACTGGATGTTTTCTGCAAGCTTACTGAGAATGTGATTATGTTCCTTTCACATATTTGGAAGTGGGAACTCCATCCCAAAGTGAGTGGTAACATAACAATTTATTTGAAGAAAAAGACACCATCCATCTTGCTCTCAGGCTGATTTTGTCTGAATCTTTAATCGATTCATAGCTCTTGCAGTTTATCTCCTTAAAGGACCTGCTGTGTGTGTGTCATGGTATGTAAAATGTTCTGAGACCGTTGGTTGTGTCCCTCATTGTTTTCTCTGCTGTCTTTCAGAAGCACCGATAATGACGATGCTACTAAAAGGAAAGTCAACTTGGTCTTTGAGAAAATCCAGACCTTAAAGTCTCGAGCAGCTGGGAGTGCCCAAGGAAATAACCAAGTAAATTGAAGTTTTGTGTTTTGTAGAGCACATTTAACATGGAATGTGGTAAACAACTTAGTGTTTCTTTAGTCTGTGAGTTTGTTTATAGCAGTAACTGGGAAGTTTCCTGAGTAGTGAGGAGTACTACTCACCATGTTTTTAATGTTAATTTGCACCCAGCCTTTTATTTTATTTTATTTTATTTTATTTTGAGACAGAGTCTCTGTCATCTAGGCCGAGTGCAGTGATGTGCTCTTGGCTCACTGCAACCTCTGCCTCCTGAGCTCAAATCATCCTCCCACCTCAGCCTCCCAAGCAGCCAGAACTATAGGCATGTGCCACTAGACGTGGTTAATTTTTGTGTTTTGGTAGGGTCAGGTTTTCATCATGTTGCTCAGGCGGGTCTCAAACTCCTGGGCTCAAGCAGTCCACCCACCTTGGCCTCCCAAAGTGCTGGGATTACAGACGTGAGCCACCGTGCTTGGCCTTACCCAGCCTTTTTTCCGTAAAGATTTTAAGACATCTTATTTAAAAATAAATAGAATATAACAGGATGATATAAACAGATGGTGAAATTTAGAAGGGGAAAATAAGAATAGGACTAGCATTGCCGTAGGCAAACACGGAAGGTGAACAGGCTTGGACCTGAGCTCTGGAACTTCAGGTGTGAAAGAGAATGGGACTAGAGGCTGGCGACACTGACCTGCTGTGATGCAGGGGACAGGAAAGAGCTCAGTGGTGCCAAGGTAGTTTTTAAATAACTGTCTGTCTGATTGATTGTGCTGAATTTGAGTGGGGACTTAAGAGATTTTTTTGGTTAGGGAAGGAGCCCTCTGTGTTTGATAAACAGCTACTCTATGCCAGACACAGGTGGTGCACTGGAAGGAAGCAGCTCTTAAGAGAGTACAACTGTGGGCTGGGCACGGTGGCTCATGCCATAATCCCAGCACTTTGGGAGGCCAAGGCGGGCGGATCATGAGGTCAGGAGTTCGAGACCAGCCTGACCAACATAGTGAAACCGCGTCTCTACTAAGAATACAAAAATTAGCCGGGCATGGCAGCGGGCACCTGCAGTCCCAGCTACTCTGGAGGCTGAGGCAGGAGAAGGCAGGAGAATCGCTTCAGCCTAGGAGGCGGATGTTGCAGTGAGCCGAGACGGCACCACTGCCAGACCGTGGAGCAAGACTCCATCTCAGACAACAAGGGAGGGGGCCTGGAGGTCACAGGCCACCCCGCCTGCCTCAGGCCGGTCTGCTGCCGCTCCCCTCCCTGTGCCCTGTCCCCCAGAGGGCCCGAGAGGCCGCCACCTCCGCTCGGTGGTACTTGGGCAAAGGGAAGCCGCGAAGCAGGTCCCGAGGAAGACCTCGCCTGTTTCTGAGGGAAGAGGCCGCAAGATGCCGCTTTGAGGGGAGCCGGAGGCCGAGTCACTCTGCTGGTCGGGACGCCGCCTTTCTAACGCCACCTTTGGCTCCACCACTCCGGGCCTGCTGCCCACGCGGACTGCGGGGTGCTGGCCGGCTGCGCCTGCCTTCTGGGAAAGAGCAGGAAGGAGCGCGGGCGCGCGATTCCGCGGCAGAGACCTCTGCAGGGGAGCAGGACGCACCCCCCGCTGCGGCTCCTGGAGGCTGCACGCGCACCATTCCGCCAAAGAAGCCTCCTTACTCCCCACGAAAGAGACTTCCAGAAGCTCTCCTGTCAATAAAAAAGTCTCAGTGAAAACCACAGAACTACCAACCCCTAAGATCATTCTTGAGTCCAATCTGAAAAACTCGGAAATTTTCAGAGGCATTCGAGGGACAGGATACCGCGCTCGTACTCATCACGTGAAGGAAAATGCTCTCTTCACCACTCCTCGGCTTCTGCTTCTGGTTTCAGAGTTCTCTCTGTATTGGAGGGGTTTTAAAGCTGGAGTGGCCGTTATCCACTTTTATTAACGCTCCCGAATGTGGAGGTCAAGAGGGGAAAGTGACATGCCCTAAGTCAGCGTAGAGTCAACAACAGAAAAAGACGACGACCGAGCCCCTGGTGTATAGTGGGCACTGGCGCGCTGCTGGGGATATGGAGATGAAGAAAACGTAATCCCTTCTTCAAGGAGCCCAATCGACCGAGATAGACTGACATAGAGACAGATAGATTATAAACTTGCATAGAAAAAAGGAAGAGGAGAAGGGGATCAGTGTGACCTGTGTAACTAAGTAGCCTTTCCAGCCCTCCTGCCACAGACCGCACTGCCCTCCACATTGGGGTGGTAGTCCCATCTCATTGAATGCCACTGCACTTTGCAGTCAGACCACACCCTAGCGTGGGTCCCGACTCTACCATTTGTACGCAGCCCTCTAAGCTAGCGTCATTGTCGGTAGGGATCCTGCTTCGCAAGAGTTAGCAGAACACGGAAGGAGACCATATGGGTGAAAGCGACCAGCAGCACCGCCCTGGCGCCTCATGGGTTCTTAGAATTTTCATTTTTTATTTTCAGTCTGACGCAGTACTGCCTGCTTTTTGTTTTTGTTGCTTGTTTTGGTTTGTTTGTGTGTTTTCTTCTTACCATATTCACCAAACTTGCATCCAAATTTAGGCTGATGAAAAATGTATGCGGGAGAGAGAGAAGAGTTTTTGTCATGGAGGGCTTTTCCATGAGTGCTGTAGATTCTCTAGGCAACTCTCCAAGAGGCTTCTCAAGTAGGATGGGCAATGGGAGCTGCTCTGGAATCAATGGACAAACGTTAACAGGGACTACTTTGAAAGACATTACTCATTTGAGCATATATTCTCTCGTAAGGGCTAAGATTTCATAGCCATCCCTTAAACACTGCCGGATGGAATCTTCAGGATTATCTTTTGAAGTAAACTATATTTTACAATGTGAAAAAAAAGAGAAAGAGAATAGGACTAAACGCTTGCTCCTCAGTCCTGCACCGCCTTGTGTGGGGCTCATTTCCGGGTGGTCTGTCTTCCTTTCCCCACCCAAGGGAATTCTGCATGGGAAGGAAAGAGGAAGATACCTGGAGGCAGGTAACAAGAAACTTGTCTATAGCTTCTTTCTAACTTGGGAAACATACATATAGGGGATATTTTTAGGCGTCAGCTACCATCTTTACTGCTTGTTATTCCCCCAGCACTCAGCTAACCCATGACTGCTGCTCTGGCCTCAAATAGAATAATGCCGTACACATGCACATCCACAGTTCCCACTGGGGAAGCTTTATACCATACTTCTTCATTGTATGTAGCCTTGGGGAGCACTACATAGTTCTTAAAGTCAGTCCAGTATTTTTTGCTAAAACTCTGAAATCCACATTATTAACACGATTCTTGTTTTTTGTATACTTGCATACAGGCTCTGCAGAGAGTGAGGGTTGGAATCTCCCTGGCCGTTACAGAGCAATATAAAGGGTCTTGAACTCAGGGGCTTTGGGTATAACTTAGCAGAGAGATGAGTCTTCAACAAATATCCCTTTTTTATATTGTTGTACTGGGGTATAACTTATACAAAGTAAATTACACGAGTTGTATCTGTACAGTTCATTGACTTTTTAACATAGCTTTGCATCCATGCAAGTATCATCCAGATTAGGATGCAGAACACTCCCACCACCCAGGTTTCCTGGGTTTCTTCCCCATTCATTACACTCCATCCTTCTGGAGGTAATCATATCCTGACTTCTATCACCTAGAGTAGTTTTCTCTTTCTTGACTTTTATATAAATAGAGTTTTACACATACGTATTCTTGTGTGTGTAGCTGCATTTCCTCACCATTGTATCAGCAAGATTCATTAATGTTGCATGTACTGGTACCTTTCTTGGTATTGAAATGTAGTTTTCCATTGTATCTGTATAACACAGTATATATTCTTCGTATACATTCCTGGTTTTGGGCTATTAGGAATGAAGCTACTTGAACATTATTATACTTTTTTGAGGGAAGGAGGGAAACACATTCACTCATTTCTCTTGAGAATATACCTAGAAGTAAAATTGCAGGGTTGTAAATGAGGCATGTGTTTAACTCGTAAAGTGTAACTGTTTTTTCTTAGGGTGAACACAGCCTTTGGCCTTTATGTTGAGATTGTCCTTGTGGGTCACAGACTAGGGGTGACTAGCCTGGGGAAGTCATGGTAGCCCTTCTGGGGATAATGGCACTGATAATGCCTCAAGACATAACAGAATTATCTGTGAGAAGAAGGGAAGCTGGGGTGCTCTCGGTTGAACGAATAGCATGGACAAATATAAAGAGGCATGGGTTTGCCATGTTGAGAGGGAAATTTAGTGCAGTGGGAACATAGAGATAGGATGGGTGGAGGAAGAGCCTGGTAGCAGGGACCTTGGAAGTCATGTAAGAAGTTTCCATTTCAAGCTGTGAAGGGGATGGGCTACCATTATTGGATTTTAAACAGACATGAATAACATTGTGTTTGTGAAAGTTGATTCCTGTTGCAGCTTTTGGAGAGAGGTAAGATTAGAGGAAGAGAGATCAAACAAAAAGCTGTTGCTTGTCTAGGTGTGGTCCCTCACACCTGTAATTCTGGCACTTTAGAAGTCGTGGAGGGAGGGTTTCTTGAGTCCAGAGTTTGAGACTACTGGGCAATATAGTGAAGCCCTGTCTCTAGAAAAATTAAAAAATTAGCCAGGCGTGGTGGCACATGCCTGTAGCCCCAGCTACATGGGAAACTGAGGCAGAAGGATCACATGAGCCCAGGAGGTGTAGGCTGCAGTGAGCTATGATTGTGCCACGGTACTCCAACCTGGGTGACAGAGTGAGACATTGTCTCTTAAAAACAACAACAAAAGGAGCTGCCAAATCAAGAGATGATGAGAAAATGAACCAAGGCTCTTAGACTTCCAGCTCACGTTACAGTTCCATGACTGTTTAATTGCCATGTTTCCCTACTCTTCTTCCCTCCCTCTTAGGTTCCAAATCTGATTATTTGCTGGCAAAGGTTTTGGAGTTTTATCTTTGTGGCATCAGTTAAGTGATTAGGAGAGAATGTAAGAACCGTCTCCCTTAGGGATGGAGAC